GTAACTAGTCTAAAGATGCCCAGTCAACAAGTGTTCCAGGATTCAAACCCAAGTGGCTTGAGCCGGGTGTGATGGCACATGCCTATAATCCCAGTGGTTCAGGAGACTGAGGCAGGAGGATCATGAGTTCAAAGCCAGCCTCAGCAACTTAGTGAGGCCCTAAGCAACTCAGTGAGACCCTCTCTCTAAATAAAATACAAAAAAGGGTTGGGATGTGGCTCAGTGGTTGAGTGCCCCTGGGTTCAGTCCCTCATAGCAAAAACAACAAACAAACTAAAATAAACCCAAGTGGCCTCTCCACAGAGCTTGACTTCATCACTGTAGGATCCTGATCCCACATAACTGGGCTAAAAAACCACAAACGACACCCTATGTAGTATCTGCTCACAAAAAATCCTCTTAGAAATATTTCCCCTAAAGAACCCACAGAGTAGAATAAACTTGTCCAGTGTAGCATCTAGAAGCATGCCTGGGCCAAAATCAATGCCCTACCCTGTGCCACAGGGTTTCCCTCTGTTTATGTAGCTGTCTCTCCTAGCCAGCACCCTGGGGGCAAGAACTGGCCATTTTGTGCCCTGCCCTGCACCCTTCCCAGCAGGACTTTGCAAGGCAGATTGATACATTCTGTTGAAAATGTGATGAAGTAGAAGAAAAACAAGGAGTAAGATGGCTAAAAAGAAAAATATATATATATATATATTTTTCTTTCTTTTAAAAATCCAACAACAGCTTTCTTGAGAGAGGAGGAACTCTGTGACATTGATTGTTTCAGCATGGGGAAGGCAAAGCAGAGGAGGAGCACAGGTGTATAGACCCTGAAGTGTGGATGTTATCATACACAGTGCCCCAGGTGGCATGGCCTTGGCAGGGTGTTCCTCAGCACTCAGCTCTTATGCCCATGGACACAGGGTGCCCAAGGTCAAGTGAATGTGCCTGGCAGGGGTCCCAACAGGCAGCTGAGGACTGTCGACCATCAGGTATTTCTCTCTCTGGAGAGACTGCACAGGGCAGGAGGATCATGAGTTCAAAACCTAGAGATGGGGTGACCATGGGAAGACAGGGATTTGAAGGCCTGGATCAGCTGTTCTAAGATGCAGGTGAAGAAATTCCTGCTGGGGATACTCCACTGCAAAGCGGCAGCAGCCACTGCGTGAGCTGATTCAATCACTACAAAGTTCCAGGGAAATGATGCACTGGTCTCACTGCTCCATAGCCCTGTAGCCCTGGGGTAGGTGCTTCTTCACCAAGTACTTTCAACTCTGGCCACAGCAGCAAAGCCTCCTGTCTGCCTGCTAAACCCAAATCTCCCTTTTCATTGAACAAACATAAGCAGCACCTCTAGGAAGAAGTGCACTACTCAGTGGAGAGAGAGAGGGCCCAAGTTTCCCCACTCATCTCCACAGTCCTTTACTGGGGCTGGCAACACTCTTTTTCATCCAATCTGGTGCACATTCTACCTGGGAGACATCACAGCCCAAAGGCACACAAACTACCCTTCCCCATCCTGCAAAGAAGCCTCTCACTGGCCTTTCCAGGAGGAGCAAAGACCAGCCAAGGCAGTTCCCTAAGCGTAACCTTTCCTAATGGAAGAGGCTCTTTGCCAGCTCAAGGCCTCTCCACCTGGGGAGTGATACCCCTGCTCACAATGTAAAGCTCCACATTGTTAATGGAACCTGGAAGCCCAGTATCATGGAACTGGATCTGTCTCCATGATACACACAGCTCAAACCAAAAAAAAAAAAAAAATACTCATCCAATCTGACTGCTTTCAGCTACACATCTGGATTTTTTGGACTGCAGAATTTTCCTCCATTCACATATGACTGCCAGAATGCAGCCAGACTTAGTAAAGAAAAACAACAAAACAAATTCTGGCTGGCGCTTACTTCTCCAGGTCAGTCAGTTCCACAGCTGCTTTGCTCTCCAGCATAGAGGACATCCGTGTAAAGAAAACTGGGTGGCAGGCTAATGAACAAACACCCCAAAGAAAATCAGCTGCAGAGTGGACACTCCTTGTTAATAGGCATTTTGTTCCAGTTGAGATTTGGAGGATTTTTATTTTTTCCTCCTGTACTGGAGATTGAACCTAGGTGCTCTACCACTAAGCTGTAACCCCAGTCTTTTTTATTTTTTATTTTGAGACAGCGTTTTGCTGAGTTTCCTAGGCTGGCTTCAAACTTCATGATCCTCCTGCCCCAACCTCTTCAATAGCTGAAATTACAGACTGTACCACTGCACATGGTGAGGAATTGATTTTTTAAAAAGTTTTGCCTAACTTGATATATCTACTTGGATGTCCAGTAGGTACTTCAAACATCGATAAGTCCAAAAGTGAGCTCTAATAGGATCACACCCCATCTTTTCCTCCTACAGCCCGCCCCATCTCAATGACTATGCGGGTCCCTTCAGTGCTCAGGCAAGAAACTCGGGCGTCATCCTGGTCTCTCTTTTTCTCACATCCCACTTCCAATTCATCAGCAAGTCTAGCTGGATCTGTTTTCAAGGTGTCCCCAGAATCCGAGCTCTCTACTCCACCTCTGTGTGGTGCCACATCAGGTCTGCCTGGAAGACATGACCAGCCTCCCTGTGGGTCCCTTCTTTCTCCTCTGACAGCTTAATCTCAACAGTCCTTAAAGCAGCCTCTCAAAATCTGAAGTCAGATCACATCCCCCTTCTTCTTGAACCCCTCCAATGGCTCCCAACATCCTTGGACAGCTGCAAGGTCCTGTGTTCCCTGGACTCACCTCACTCTGTCCCGTCTCCCCTCCCCTTCGGCCAGGCTGGTGATTCCTGTCCCTGAAACACAGGTGCTTACCACCTAAGGCCTGCGGATTTGCTGCTTTCTCTACCTGTGCTGCTATTCCCCTGGATTTCCTCATGGCTCTCTCCTGACTTAGCTTTTACTCCAGTGTTACCCTCTCAGTGAAGATTTCCTTGTTCCCCCTCATCAAACACCTCAGGATTCCTAACACTTCTTAGCCCCATCCATGATTTCTTTCTTTCCTTCCTGGCACCTATTACTGACACATTATATATAAACTTGTTCATCTTGTCCTCCCAGTCCAGAGCGCGAGCTCTGTGAGATCCAAGATGTTCACTCACTCCGTCCAAGTGCTGGGACCAGAGCAGTACGTGGTGCCAAGTGAAGTCGGATCACATCACCTTCTCAAGAAATGTTTATTGGGTGACTGAAAGCAGGAAAGACCAGTACTTTTAACCCAAACACCCATTTTGAATGAGCCAAACTGGCTTACAAAATTAACAAACAAAAAATGAGCTGATTGGATGAATGATACAAACCAGAGAATGTGACCAAAGCCACTGAAATTCCACTCCTTACAGTGGTGGCCTAAGTGATGGGCCCCAGCTGTTCCATTGAGAACAAGTAAAATATGAAAAAAAATCATATTTAATATGGAAAACATGCTCTAGAGAGATATGCCTGACACAAAGAGCTGCTTTTGTCCTGTAGGCTTCTGCTGACCTGGAAGAAGCAGCTAGAAACTTTACTCCACTCTCAGCTTATTCTAGGAGATGGTGGACCGAAGTCAAAGCCTAGAGTCTTCCAAAAAAACAGACATAATGCCCTGATCCCACCCAAGCAGAGACCTGAGCTAGGAATGAGGATGAGCTAGGAGAGACAGTCCTGCAGGCTGACTGTTCTCACCTGGGGCACTCACAGAACTACAAGCCTCAAACTGTCAAAAGTGGTCTCAGACTGACAGGGCCCTGAGTCCTGAAGGAGCTAACAAAACTCTTTCTGGAGGAAGATAATGTCATCTTAAGCCACAATTTACTCCTATATATAAACTTTTTTTTTTCTTTTTGGTATCAAGGATTAAATCCAGGGGTGCCATCCCCAGCCCTTTTTTATATTTTATTTAGAGACAGGGTCTCACTGAGTTGCATAGCGCCTCACTTTTGCTAAGGCTGGCTCTGAACTTGCGATCCTCCTGCCTCAGCCTCCAAGCCACTGGGATTACAGGTGTGCACCACCATGCCTGACCTACATAAACTTTCAAATATACAAAATGGCACACAGAGATGATCCAACACACAGAGAAACAAGACACCAAGGAATAGGAACAGGCAGCAAAAGGGGAAAAAAGAAAGAAAGATGCCAAACAGACTTAGAAATAAATCTCGAGACACTGGAATGTTAGACACAGGCTATTATGCAACCAAGCTACTGTGTTCAAAGAACTAAAAGCCAGAAATTACAGTGGAGAAGCAGATCATATTAAAAACAATTCAAAAAATAAATAGAAATTCGACAGCAAATACCATTGAATATGTAGAATGTTTACAGCAGGCAGGGAATTGAACTTGGGGGGGAACATCATGACGTTCGTCATCTGACCTAAACTTCCAATAAAGACAGGGAAATAGGGAATGTTCAAAGCGGGGCTAAACACTCATTTTACATGTTTATCTGCTGGCAGGAAAACAGCCTGTCAGCAGCCACAGAAGGATGGATTCCGAAATCCCAAGAGAGGGAGGGGAAAAGCAAGCTCTGCACAAAAGACTTGGTAAAAAGGGAAAGGAATAGAACCAGGATCCAATTTCATCCCCATCTGCACCCACAAACATGGAAGTATAACATTTATATGCTTTCTGGCAAACCCTCAGTACAGACCCCACCATTTAAACAAAACCTCCCAACTGCTTCCAGGCTTGTGGGTTTGAAGTCTACTGGCCGAGAATAGGAACACTCCACTGTCTCACATAGAATCTGTCTGCTCTCCTCCCTATCAGATATTCTCAACTCAAGTGATGCTAGAAATAACCATCACCCCTGCAACAAGCAGCTGTGTCACATCCCGTCCCCTCACCCTCCCCCACAGCCTCCCCACACTGGCTGCTATCTTTATGCCACAGGACAGACAAGAGAAAAACAATTAGTCAGCCCGGGTTTTGCCCACTTTCCCCACCACCCATATTATTCAAAACACAATGACTGCAGAAAACAAGCTAGCTTTAGAGGCCAAGCAGGCACCTACAGGTCTGAAGGACTTGAAGACTTTTTCCAAGACTTCATGGAGTGTCTTCTTGCCACAGGAGGAGATGTAATCCTGCGCTAGCTGCAAGAAAGGCAGGCAGTCCTCGCTCTCGCTCCACACGTGCTGCGTGCCCCCATGAGGGCAAGGAGAAAACAAAGACACACAGGTCATTATCCTCGGGGTGAATCACAGACTGCCATGCAGATTTTTTTTTTTTTTAATTACATGAACCTGAAGACGGCTCTAGTGCACAGTGAAATCCATGTTCATTCAGGATTTGTTTGCCTGGAAGGGGGTCAGAAAATCTCTAATCCACAGAAGCCCCAAGCTCTGGTTCCTGCTCTCACCTGCTCTGTTCCCCATCTGCTCACAGGTAGCAAAGAGGTCAGGGGGGTGGACATTCCTCACTTGTGATTTCCACAGCTCACCTGCTCTAGCAGGCTAAGGGTGGTTTTAAGATGGTAGGGAGAAGCCAGAGCCTTTGCCTTCAAACTCCTTAACTTTGCCTTCAGCTATGGCTGAAGGATTAATTAAGCATAGCTCATAATCCGAACTTGGAACAAGTTGTTCCTTACTCAGATTAGCCTTCCAGTGGGGGTGGTGGTAAATCTACTTTTTTTAAATGAAATGAACTTAAGAGAGCACAAAAAGTCCACAGGAAGTCAAAGGTTTGGGAAACAAAGGTTTGCTAAAAGCTGACCACCCTGAACATGCTCTAAGAGAGCACTGCACCCAGGCGTCACCAAGCAAGGTAACACATGCAGAGAGGAAATGGGTTTTAAGTTTTATTTTATTCCTAAGGCTTGATAAAGTTTTCCTCCACATGAGCACATCTTAAACGGTGAGGCAAACCTCTCCCCAAACTGTGCAAGGCTCTGGACTAAGCCCAAGAAGCAGGCTGGAGAGATCTGAATGCAGAAGCCCCAGCTCTGCATATCTGAGGAAGACTCTCGGGTAACAGGAGTCTGTCAAGTACAAGGATCTGTTTCAATGACAGTTCAACACTGATAAAACTGCATGAGGCCAAGGAGAGGGTTGGATATTTGGTGGACTGGAACAAGTCACAGGGGCTAGGCCACAGGGAATGAGATCTTTTTGGAGAAATGGCCCATGTCTCGTGCACAATCGCCCCCCTTCTATTCATACAAATGATTAAAGAATCACCCTAGAAAGTTATGCTTGACACTCAATAAACACATTTCATTGCCTCCCTTCTCACTGCAGGATTTCCAAGAACTAGATCTGCACACTTCAAATGCTCCCAGATCCAAGTGAGGATAACTAGGTGCTAAAGTGCCATTTTCATACCCCAATTATCTGTGTTTCGCAGTTGTAAAGGTCCATTTCCAACACCCGCTGCTCTAATTCCAGCAGACTTCCAGAGCTTCCTCCTCAACCTAATAAAGACAACAGCCAGGCCCTCTAGCTTAAGAGAACAGCTCAAATGTTCTTCCCTATTAATTAGAGACCCTTAATGCTGTCAAGCCACTGAAATGTCACTTATGTAATAGTCTCTTACATGGTAGGAAAGTCTGGTAGTACAAAGCACTTTTATATCCATTACCTATATCACTTGATTCTTAATTAACAGAGATTCAGCAAGAACAACAAAGTTCTACTCTATTACGTTCTGCTTAGCATTCATTTCACCCTCAAATCTGTAAAGTTCCAGCTAATTTCAAATTAGGACCCAACCTGGAACTGAGATTAAAATCTAGCATCACACAATTTGAAGCCTACCATCCTTAGACTTAGTGTCAAGATTAGAAAGTGAAAAGTTGAAATTTTATTAAGTGCTTGGCACAGTGCCAGGCTGGTAACAGTGTGTATCTGAGTAAGAACCTTCTTTCCACTTTTGCATCTGCAGGAGGATGGGGAGAAACGGCTTGTTGGACTTTCTGCCTTCCACATAGCTAAGGTGACTCAATGAATAAACCAGATACCCGGTGTGACTTTACCCTGAATTCAGAAGTATGTGGATCTATGAAAAACTGGTATCATACTTTTTTGTTGAAAGTGCATTTGGGCTTGAAAGTACAAAGTCAACAGAAAAGCTTATAACTTAACAGAATTACAATGTATCCACCACCTCCTGGCGATCAGTTTATTCAGATAAGTGTTTGCAGGCATCTCTAACCTCATGAAGAGATTGTTCATGTTGCAATGTCCATTACTCTCCTTTTGGAGTCATTCACTTATTCATACATATGTTAGAGAAGGAAGACCTAAAACCCACCAAAGGGCCTTGTGCCCAGTTTCCTTTATTTAGCTCTCTACTTCTCCCTGATTCCCAGTTTTGTGGATTAAAACAAACAACCAAAAAAAAAAAAAATTTAATTGAATCTCTATCCACATGAGAAAGTAAGGGACACAGGGTTTAGAACTACACAAATCCAGGTGGACATGGCCACTTAAAAGACACCTCCATTTGCTGTCTGCTCATTGTATTATATCCACTGCATCTCAGAACAAAAAGTATTTCACTTTATTTAAGCTGTTTCTTTCCAAAACTAATGAAGGCTGGTGGCAAAGAGTCATAGGATACAAGACAAGCTGAACTGAAAAATAAGTCTGCAGTAAGGGGGAAAAAGGACAAAGGTAAAATAATGGAAGGAAAATAAGCTAAAACTAAGAGTGAGAAAAGGACAAACAGAGGAAGATGTGTAGGCCTGGCCACTTGTTACAGATGGGACACAGAGCTGGTGCTAACGCTTTTTCTAAGCAGCCCAGGCAAAGAAAGAAAAATCACCTCCCATCAGTATCCCCAGAGAAGACACTCAGGCACTTCAGGACAATCAACAGACAAAGGTTTGAGGGAAGAGGGTTACTTTCTCAGAAAAACAGAGGGGGTCCACATTAAAACCAAGGAAGGCAGAGAGAACGCTTGGGGGCAGGGCTGATGGCCCTGAGAACAGGATTTGGTGGTCTAGTCTCATAGAAAGACAAATAGGTGGGCAAAGACTCAGAGTGCTGGGGCCACAAGGCATGGCCATAGTAACTCCAACTGGGAAAATATTTTAAACATATAACCCAACACCCATCTTTGATTTCAATTCCCAAGAAATTCCAGGTGATACTTGACACAGTGCCAGGCTGGTACACAGTGTTGTAAAAGCATGCTGCTGTTCTGGGTCACACTTTGAGAACCAGGCAAAGAGCAGAACTTTGGCTAATCCTATTTAGAGTGGTAATATGGGAGTGGTGGTACATTTAAAATCTTTCTGGAAGACCTCAAGCAATGCCATTATTGACTACAACCAACTCCAAATCTCATATTGGGGTGAGCTTTAGTGAAGTGGCATTCACTGTACCACAATAAGAGGCCCACAGAAGTATAGGCAATCTGTGTCCCTTCTTTCTGTTAAGGTGGGAAGGAGTTTATTATAAAAGCTCACCCAGCTAAGAAAATAAAACTATGCCACCTATAAATAAGCAAATGAACACCTTTCCCTTTCTACAGTGTAGATGAGAATATCTAGTTTGTCAAAAAAATGGTATTAAATCATTAAGGTAATTTGATCCTTCTTGTTTTGTGTATAAGCTGTGTGCTCCTACTATTCTAAGTCCTGGTGGGCATGCTGCTGGGCCTCTGGGTGCTTAAGCTAGTAGTGGTTTGTGGGTGTTAAGAATACATACATTTCTCCTCTCTGGACAGTTATCTGAGTCAGGGCCCTTGCTATGGGCCTCTCTCATTGTAGTGTAGTCGGCCTTTGTATCCACAATTCTGTATGTGTGGCTCCACATCCGTGTAGAATATCAGGAGAAAACTGTGTCTATACTATATATGTGCAAACTTTTTTCCTGACATTATTCCCTAAATAAATAGAGTATATATAACACTTAAAATGTATCTTATATTGTATTACGCATTACAAATCTATAGGAGAGAGTGTGTAGGTTGTATAAAAACACTACATCATTTATATAAAGAGACATGAGCATCCTCAGATTTTGGTATCCAAGATAGGACCTGGAACCAGTCCATTAAGGAAACCAAAAGTCAACTGAACAGATGTGTGAGTTTTCTGCCATTCTAAGTCCATTCTGAATTGGTGCAGTTTAATCCAGAACTGATTTCTGTCCATAGGACAGCTGAACATAAAAGCCACAAACCACCCAACATGATCAGATGTATCTAAGCAGAGCTTGCTCTTTGTGTCAACTATTGACCCATTTTACCACAGGCCAAACTGAGGCTCAGAAAGGTTAACTTGCCTGTGGTTATACCAGGAGCAAGGGGGACAGCCAAATATCAAGCACATGCACTTTCAACTGCACTTTGCAAAATGTTTAACTGAACCTCCGACATCCATTTGTAAGTCAAGGAAGATGATTATATTCACAGGGGGGTTCTAAAGATTACAGGAATCACCTGTATATCGCCTCTCATTTAGCAGAAACCTAGTAAATGCTTATTACCATCTATTTGGATTCATATTAACATAACTTGATTCTCTTTAGGTTTACGATTCCACAAACACAAATCGCTTATCTTTTCTCAGAAGTGGCCTCTCTGTATGGACAATGCACGGCCCTTGCGGAGTGTCACATGCTGGCAAGCACCTTAGCATCACTTCTCACATAATCCTCATTGTGATTATGCAATGAAGGTATGCCTGACCCAGTCTGATAAATGAGGAAATTGAGGGTAGCTCTGAAATAGAAGAGGAAGTCTTCTCTTTCTTATATACCACCACATAAACATGATGTGATCTCCTTTAAGTTATATAAGTTATATTTTCTCTCTCCCAAATGAAAAGGTTGTTATTTAATCAACTAACTAGTTGAGAATAGAGACATGCATAGTCCACAAAGGGGGAAAATATACATATACACAATAAGCAAACACACATATATAAAGTCAAATCACACAGTCCTTCCATACAAAATCTTTTTTAATTATGACAATGGTTATCTTTGCTTTTGAATTGAGGGAGGATTAAAATACCCAGAATTTTGGATCCAAGCATGTTTCTGATGAGCTGACAGAGGGGGTGGGTCAATAAAGGAAATGGCTCCTCTCTCCTGTAATCATGAGCACCCAGGCCTGGAGGGGCAGGGCAGAGGAAGGAAGAAACCCAGCTGTGCTCCCAGGAAGGGATACACATGCGGTCACTCTGTGGGTAGGGCACGTGAGCGGCTGCCAACACTCCACCCACTCCTCAGACCTGACTGAGCCCTGGACCTTCTGAGTTGCAGAGGAACGGGCACAACGGCCTGCCCGTGAGCTCTCGCCAGGGCCCAGGAGCCCTTGCTGTGGCACCTGTAAAGTTAGGCAGGGTGGCCTGGCCCTGAACTCCCTCCACAAAAGAAACTGGAGGGGTTTTGGTTTGGGGGCTTTCTTTGCGATGCTGGGAACCTAACCAAGGGTCTCATGCAGGCTGGGCTGGCATGGCACCACTGAGCCGCAGCCCCACAGCTTTTTTATCCAAGGTACTACCCATTCACAGAGAGGGGTCCCAATCAGGGAGGCAGTCTGGAAAGGGACAACATAGTTGGGATGGCCTATGAAGTGAGAGGGAAAGAGTGCACAAGGGACCCAGGAGCCATCAAAGTGAAGGGACAGTCAAAATAGGTCCTTGCTCCTGGCTCTGAGCTACTGGCCTGATCCTGCCTACAGCCACTCTTCTGGTGACAGAATAGGTATCTGAATTGGGCTTCAGTCCTGCCTCTGTTACTTCTTAGCAATGTACGTCTTAGCACTGTGAGTACTTTACACTCAGTGAGTACCTTACACTCACTGAGCCTCAGTTTCCTCAACCATAGGCAGTAATAATATCTACCTACCTCAAGGGATTTTTGTGAGGCCCAGGAACAAGTCACCCTTGAACTGCAACTGGATTGGATGCCCTAGATTGAATGGTCCAAGAGGAAGTGAGAGAGACACCAAGAGACACATGGAGGGGCTAGAGTCTATCACTCTCGTGATGCTATGTATTCAACCTGAGGCTACAGTCCAGGTCGTTCTACTACTCATTAACCATGGGCAAGTCAATAAACCTCCCTATACCTCAGTTTTCCCATCTGTAAAACAGGGATAATTATACAGAATACCTTGTGACACCACTAAGATTCAACAAATTCAAATTCACAAAGTGTCTGGAACAGTGTCAGATACATAGTAAATTGAACATACGTGTTAGCACTGCTGCCTCTTTGAAGTCTGATTCTTGAAATCTAACCTCTGTCTTCTATACTAGACTGTCACTTATCCACTCTTTTCCCCTTTTTTCCAGTCCTGGCAATTGAACCCAAGGGTGCTTTGCCACCGAGCTACATTCTTTTTTATTATTTATTTTGAGACAGGGTCTCATCAAGTTGCCCAGGCTGGACTTAAACTTGCAATCATGACCTCAGCTTCCCAAGTAGCTGGGATTTCAGGTGTGTGCAACCAGGCCCAGTTCATTCATTCATTCTTACAAATGTGTATTGAGCATATACCAATCATCTGACACTGTTCCAGGTACTGTGGTACAGTGATGAATAAGATAAACAAGGTCTCTGCTCTAGGAACTTGTAGTCTAGTGGAGAACACAGAAAACAAAAAGAGGATATCCAGCCTAATGAGTGCTGATAAGAACAAAAAACATGAAATGAAGGTGGAGAGGTCAGGAAGGCTTCTCCCAGGACTACATGCCATAAAGAGCCAGTCATGTAAAGATCTGGGACAAGGATGTTCTAGGCAGGGAGAACAGCAAGGGCAAAGGCCTCGGGGCAGGAAAGAGCTTGGCAGGAGTGAGGCCAGAGAGATCAGTATAGTAGAAACACAGTAAGCAAGGGAGAAGAATGGTCCAAGAGGAGGTGAGAGAGGCACCAAGAGACACTTTATGTAGGGGCTGGAGGCCTGGGCGAGGTCTTGGGTTTTATTGCCAAAGGGAAGGGAAGTCAGTTTAGGTAAGGTGGGGAGTGGGTGTTGGCGGGTGGGTGGTGACATCACCAACACCACCACTATTTATATTTATACAGGATCCAGATCATATTTTAAATAGCTTTGGAGTGACAACTGGCTAGAGCCTGGCTTGGCATGGGGGCAGGTACTACAAGCATGGAGACAAGTTAGGAGATAAAATGAAAAATGATACTGGCTTAGGCTACTGCAATAGTATGAGAGTACAGAAAAACAGGTGGACACTGCACGCCTTTTGAAAGCAATTCCGGCAGAATTTTGGTGATTTAGATACAGAGAGTTTTAGAATGAGGTTAAAGACCTCTTTGGTCTTTAACTAGACGAACAGTAGAATTTACAGAGCTAACAGCACAATGGGCTACCAGTATTGAGCACTTGTGCCTTCCTCAGCCTACTTGTGCTCTTTGGAGAATAAGCCAGGAACTACATTCTCAAGCAACCCTGAAGATATACTACTAAAACCATGACCCCCCTTAAAGCACCAATCCCAAGTAACCCTGCTAGGGAGGTTACAGATGTTGAAACTGTGGCATAGAGGGCATAAATGACCTCCCCAGGGCACACAGAGCTGGGATCTGACCCCAAATTCTGTGCTAACCATTGTGCTACACTGCTTCTTAGCTAGGTAAACTAGCCCCAGGAGCATGAGGTCTATTTGTATGCTAGACAGCTATGGCCCAGCCAACAATAGGCCCTCAAAAATTTGTTAAATAAACGAATGTTGTGAAAATACCTTGTAAATTGAGAGATGGCTATGTAAATACGTTAACAAATCTTTCAAATAACAGGGATTCCACTCAACTCAAATTTCCACTAATGCTTAACATATTTTCCTGGGACAAAAAGGAAAAGAACTAGGGTAGGACACTTATTAGAAGCAAACAGTAGTTGGACACACCTGGCCTCGAGGGGATTCAAGAAAAAATTTGGTTAAGAAAACTACTGCAGTTGGCATCTTGTCCATTATGGCTTCCAGAAACTTTTGAGAAAGTTACAGTCTACCTGAGGAATTGTTTTTACTTCTCTCTTCTTATTTATCTTCCATCCCACCTTCTATCTTCTTTATCTATTCCATTTAAATTGTTAGTCGACATTTTCAATGTGGGTGGCCTCAGGAAAAGGGCCTAATACAAATAATGTTTCTGAATGATGATTTGATAACATTCCAGACAAGAGAATGGCCTTGTGCCTTCCTCAGCCTACTTGTGCTCTTTGGAGTCATTTCTGAGGTATGTTCCCTGTAGTCTGGCTGTGTGGAACCCTCCCCCATAAAATCCATGAACCATACCCTATTTCACACAGTAGGGAGGAGGAGGGGCACTGGAAAACTAAGTTGAGAGCTGGGAGGGACTCCTAATCACAACCTAACATTTTACAGTTAGTTGGATCTTGATTCCCTTTCCACCTATCCCTGGAGTTTTTGCATACTTTTCCAATGGAGTGAATCCCAGTACAGTTAACCTGTGCTTACATGTATTAATAGCTTACTTGCTCTTCAAAAGAACCCTGTGAAAGCCCACTTTACAGTTGAGAAAACTGAGGCTCTTAAAAAAAGAAAGACAAGCTCTAAACTCTGGAAAACAGGTCTCTGAATCCCAAATTTGTACAGCCCTTGCTTAAGAGAGACTGTCAGGTGTTCTACCTACATGATTATCAGGGCACTGATATTATTACGCTCATTTTGTGGATATATGGAAACTGGGCTCAGGGAAGGGCGTCTGATAATAGCCGCACGGGGAGCACTCAAATCTGGCTGTCACCCAAAGCCACCCCTCTTCCACGGTGACACAAAACGGGGCTCAGGTGGGTTCCTCCCCTCAGTGAGGTGGGGATGGTGGGAGGGGCGTGCATTATCCGCCAGGCTTGCACCAGACTTCACCTCTCCGGGTCCAAAAAAGGCACTCTGGCTCTAACTCCTTCGCGAACTTCCCGCGGCTGACTGGGGCGCGCGGCAGTAAAAGCCACAGCCCAAGCTTTGTCTCGCCCCACCTGAGGAGCCTGCGCCAGGCCGCGCCTCTGCGCCGCCCCATCCGTCGGCAGGGACGGCAGCAGCGCCAGCTCCAGGCTTAGGCCGGCGACCACACGGTAACCCGCGTCCACAGCCGCCTCCATCTTACATTTGGGGACCATATTTATTCCCCGCGCTTACAAACACTTCATGGAACGCCATCCTCGCTTGGTCTCCACGCCCTTCCACTGCAACTTCCCTGCCCTCCGCATCCTCTTCCTAAACTGTCAGTGCCAAGATCCCAAGTGGGCTCAGGATGCGAAGTCGAAGGTATAGACACCGCAGGTTCAGGTCCAGGTCGCTCCTAGCCAAGGGTGTTGGGGATTCCCCTTCCCCTGGAAAAGCCAAAGGGCTTCGGCATGGCCGCAGCCGCCTCCGGACCGACAGAATCCGCCCCGGACACACACACCTCACCTCGCTGGAGGCTCAAAGAGGAGCAATGGAAGCACCGGGGAAAGGGGGATAGGCGTGCCCGAGTGCGTGTGTGTGTGTGTCTGTGTATTGGGATGTATGCGCACGCGCGCGTGCGTTTTTAAGATCCAGGGTGTAATTCCGCAAAGAAGGTCCAGGAGATCGGGCATCGTTAATGTGGACAGAGGCTTTGTGTCCAAACAGGCAGCACAGGGAATAACAAGGAGGGGATTGAGGGTTCTCCCGAACCCGGCAATTGGTGGAGTTGGGTCTGCGCACTGGGAGGGGAACGGGATTCCTCACCCGGACGGGACGCCCGGGTGTAGGAAGATCCGGACTTCGGATTCTTCAAGAGGGACCCAGTGCCCCAGCCCGGGTCAGTGCGATGCGGCTGACATCCCCAGGATGTTCGAAGCCAAACACAGCCCATCAGCAGTGGGGTCGCGTTCTCAAAATAGCGCCCGCCGGGGGTAAGGGGTGGACTCCGGAAAACGCCACACCTCCCGCCCCAGCCCTGCTCCCCGGATCCTACGGGCGCCCAGCCCGACACCCACCCGCCCCACCCGGGGCGCTGACACCGCTGCGCCTGGCCCCGGGGCTTCCCCTACCCAGCTAGGAGCAGCGGGTGCGCGGCGGCCAGCGGGTTACGCCTCCCCACCGCGAGGAAGCTCCGGCGCAGCTACGCGGCCGCTGCGTCCACAGTCCCACCCGCTCCAGCGGTCCCTCCCCCCCAGGCGCTCACAAAATTGTCGCCGCAGCCGTTGTCCGGACACAGCACGTAGAAGGAGACGCCGGGGTCGGCGTAGAAATCCATCCTGCGCTCGGTCTCCTCCGTGGCGATGAGCTCGAAGGGCGTGTTGGAGCACCATTTCTCCGCAACGTCGGCCAGCTGCTGGAAATCCATCGTGGCCCGCCGCGCCCGCCGCCGCTCCCTCCGCCTCGGCGCTCGCCGCCCGCCCCGCTCCCTCCGCCTCCCGCCGCCGCCCTCCTCGCTCCTCGGCGCCCTCCTCCCGGACGGGCAGCACGGCGCGACGCTCCGCTAGGCGCGGGTCCCGGGCGGCGGCGGGCCGGGCAGGCGGACTCCCTGCGGGTCCCTGGGCTCGCGCCGACGGGGACTGTTTACATGCGGTGTGTAACGGGGGCGGGCGGCGGCCGCGGACGGCGCGGCGCCGCGCCCGCGGCTCCTCCTCCGCCCCGCCTACCCCCGCCTCTTTCGGGCCGCCGGCGAGGCTGGCGCGGCCGTGGTGCGGGGCGCCTGGCGGGGCGGCGGGTGACTCCGCGGGCCGGCGGTTCTTCTCCTCCGCCCCCCCTACCCCTTTATTTTTAAACGAACCGGAGCATCCCGGGGCCCTCGCCAGTGCGGGGCCGCCCCGGCACGTGACGTCATGGACCCGGGCCAATCCCCGCGCCGCGGCCCGCGAGCCGGGTGACATCACAGCGCGGGCCCGGCATCGGCGGCTCGGCAGCTTACGGGAAAGCGGGCGACGTCCTGGCGCCCCGTTAGCGTTCTGTGGAGTTAGAAAGTCCGGGAAGGGTTTTTCCGACTGCGATTTAAATGCAACGGCGCCCACAGAAGTGCAGATAACTTGAACCTTGTCTGAGGCAAATAGTGGAGGAGCTGAGAAAATCTAAGGGAAACGGAGCTTTTCCTTTTGCAAAGACTAAAGTTCTGTCTTTAATGTAAAGGAATGTCTTCCGTTAATGCGTTTACAGACATGGATATGAATGTCTAATTGAAAATGAAGGGTTTTTTTGCGTTTCATAAAGCTAAATATTTCTTAGGAATAAGCCTCATAAGTCTAGCTTTAGTATTATTCTGCTTGCATTCATATTGCATAACCTAAAATGGTCAACTGCTGGGTTGGGAGAAAGCACAGGGCCCAGCGACCGTACCTGTTGAATGCTCCCTGGCTGCCCAGGATCCGACAGACATTGCTGGATTACAGAAAAATGAGTCCTCACGCACAGAACTGAATGACTACCAGCAGAGAGACGTTAAATAACATTCATTCTATAAACTTTCAATCCGCATTTATCCTTGAAGTGTGTCCTGTAGTGTGCATCACCACTCTCAATGAACTGGTAGATCAACCAAGGGGCATGTATGACATTATGAACCCATTGAACACACCTTGTACTCAACGGACTAGACTTGATTTCCGGAAAATAGTCTGCTTTGTATATTTATGGAGCAGGAATTTTTCCCTTGAACCCCCCCCCCCCATGTTTAAATTAAATCTATGTTTCGGTAGCAAAACACCTCATATCTAAACCGTTAGAAACTCTAATTACTTTTTTGGAAGAGAAAGAGGGTGGGGCAGTGATGAGCACAAAGGCATCTGAGGCATTACATCTTTTCTGATCTTTTTCCTGCTGGGAGCTGTCCTGTTTTAGTTAGCTTCTCATTGTTGTGACCAAAATACTTGACAAGAACAATTTGGAAGAAGAAAAGTTTATTTTGGCTCAAGGTTTCCCAGGTTCAGTCCATGGTGGGTTGACTCCACAGCTCTGGACCCCAGGCAATGCAGAACATCAAGGTGAAAGGGTGTGGAGTAGGAAAGGAGCTCAGAACATGACAACCAGGAAGCAGAGAGAGAACTCTGCTCACTGGGGACAAAATATAAACCCCAAAGGCACATCCCGAGTGACCTACCTTCTCCAACCACACCCTACTGCCTACAGTTATTGTCCGATTAATTCATATGGGTGGATTAATCCACCGATTAGGTTATAATTCTTGGCATTGTTTCACACATGAACTTTGGGGACACCTCATATCTAAACCATAGCCTGTCCTTAACTAGAACTTCATGTTCCCTGGAACAATGTTCTGCCTTGACTCTCTTCCTTTAAAACAATATAGCTCAGTCACTGACTATGGAGCATCTACTGGGTACCAAACCAAGATGCATAAGGCCCAGTTTTTGGCCATGGAGGAATTTCCTGACTGAAAACTAGACAGGATTCTAAGATGACTCCCAAGATCCCTGTCCCTCCTGGTGTGCACATACACTTTCCCAATTATTCAAACAATAGTTTTGGTGCTGCTCTGAAGAATATTGCAGATGCAATTAAACTCAAATCAATTGACCTTAAGATGGGAGATTATCCTTGGCAGGCCTGGCCTAATTAGGTGATCCCTTGAAAGATACTGGGCTCTTCCTGGAGAGAAATTCAAAGCACCAAGTGGCTTCATCACCTCATGGGAGGTTTTCTACTGATGGCTTTGGAGATGGAGGAGCCACTTGGCAGGGACCAGGGAGCAGTGTCTAGGTGCTGAAAGCAGCGAGCAGTGCTCACAGCCAGCAGGGTTACAGAGACTTCCTCTTACCATACAAGGGACTAAATTCTGTTAATGACTGGAATGAGCTTAAGTAGATTTCCCCCCACAGCATCCAAACAAGAACTGAGTCTGACTGACACTGTGATTTCAGTTTTGGGATACCCTAAGCAGAGAACCCAGTTATGTCACAGCTGTGCTGGGGCTTTGGACTTTCAGACCTGTAAGACAATAAATGGCATGTTGTTTTAGGCTTCTAAGTTTGTTAAATTTCTCCTGTAGTCCTAAGAAAATAAAACATGGAACAATGAAGGAGACAGGCACATGAGTATAAAAATTTGTCATACTGTTGTACAGTTACAGGATGATTACTTTTCATTCTTTCAAACTTTAATACAGAAGTGGCAACAACCCTAACTATACAGTATTAATAATGACCAACAATATATATTGCTACTATTAAAAGACAAAATTTAATTTTTACTCAACTATATTGATAAAGTTTGTCTTTTTGGAATGTAAAGACTGCCTGAATAAAAGCTGCCAAGTACTAGATTTGAGGATATCAACATTTAAGTAAATTTATATAATTCAAGCATAACTTCTGAGCCACATCTCTAGTCCTTTTTTTAAAAAAAAAATTTATTTTGAGAAAGCGTCTGGCTAAGTTGCTGAGACTGGCTTCAAACTTGTGAGCCTCCTGCCTCAACTCCTGAGATGCTAGGATGACAGGCATATCCCACTGTGCCTAGCAGTTCATCTGATTTTTGCATTTAACATTGTAACTAATTTTATCAATAGGATGGTTGATAATCAACCTGATTATAATGCTAAATAGCAAATAATTTTTCACTTTTTAATTTAATTTACAATTTGACTTTTATTCCATATTTTTATTGGCACATTATAATTATACATCATAGTGGTATTTTTGTTACAGATTCATATATGCATATGAAAGAACAATATTATTTGGTCAATGTAGTTCCCCAGTATTTCCCCTTTCTCTCTCTCCCTTCCTCCCCTGGTCCTTTTCCTCTAGACTATTGGTCTCCTTTCTGGTTTCAAGAAACTGCTTCCCACCTTTCTTTCCCTTTTTCCTTTTTAGTTTCTGCATATGAGAGAAAACATACAATTTTTGACTTTTTGAGTTTGGCTTATTTCATTTAACATAATGTTCTCACGTTCCATCTATTTTCTTGCAAATGACATAATTTCATTCTGCTCTATGGCTGAATAAAACTCCATTGTGTAGATATACCACATTTTCTTTATCCATTCATCTGTTGACAGACATCTAGGCTGATTCCATAACTTGGCTATGGTGGGTTGTGCTGATATGCGTGTATCATTACAGTGTGATGACTTTAATTCTTTAGGATAAATACTGAGGAGTGGTGTAGCTGGGTCATAAGATGTTTCCATTCCTAGTCTTTCGAGGAATCTCCTTTATGATTTCCACCATGATTGTACAAATTCACACTCCAAGCAATAATGTAAAGTGTTCCTTTTCCTCTACATCCTCTCCCGCATTTATTATTCTTTGTATTCTTGATGACCACCATTCTGACTGGAGTGAGATGAAATCTCTGTAGTTTTGAGTTACATTTCCCTAATTAGTAAACATGTGAAACATTTTTTCATTTATTTGTTGGCAATTCATATTTATTGTTTTGAGAAGTGTTAGTTTAGATTATGTGCTCATTTGTTGATTGGGTTGTTTTTTTTCTGATGTGAAGTTTTTTGGGTTCTTTATATATCTGGGATATTAATCCTCTGTCAGAAGAGTAGCTAGCAAAGATTTTCTCCCATTCTGTGGGGTCTCTCTTCACATTCCTGATTGTTTCCTTTGTTGCGCAGAAGTTTTTTAAATGTGATGCTATCACATTTATTAACCCTTGACATTATGTCCTGAGCCTTAGGAGTCCTATTGAGAAAGTCATTTCCCATGCCTAAAAGCTGGAGTGTTGACCCTATATTTTGTTTTTAGGAATTGAATTTTGTGCAGTGTGAGAGGTAAGGGTCTAGTTTCCAGAATGTTCTTTTTAAAATGTATCTATGGGCACTTCAAGATAGCACAAGAAATTTCAAAAATGCAAAGTTTCTTAAATTTGAGATGAAATTATGTAAAACACATGGATTTTCTCCTTTTTTGGCAAAGGGGGAATTAAGTCCATATGTTTTAAAATTCATCAATCAAGTTGTTTCCAAGTGATGGATGACCATAATCACAAAGTTATATTTATTTAACAAATACATTTTGTCAGAAAAGCAAAAATTCTCAAGATAATATTCTTAGATAGTAGTCTGGCTACAAAGCAGTTGCTCCATGAACTGAAAAGATTCCATTGGTTTCCTTAGGAAGGATCAAGATAAAGAGCAGAAGCTAGGGGCTCCATATCTGGGCCTGCCTCTGTAATTGTCATATGCACATCTGCAACTTACTTAATCGCCCTAACTCTCAGTTTTCTTTTCTGAAAACAGGGACAATAGTGAGATAAAGTATATAAAATCCTTATTCCAAAACATAGAAGTCAGTAAATGTTATTACTACTCTTAATCTGCTTCTTAGGGATTATTTGTAGAAAAATGAGCTGATAAATTTTGACAGTATAATTCAAGCTGGGCATGGTGGTGCACACCTGAAATCCCAGCAACTGAGGGGGCTGAGGCAGGAGGACAAGTTTGAGGCCAGTCTTAGCAACTTAGTGAGGCGCTAAGCAACTTAGTGAGACTCTGTCTCAAAATAAAAAGGGCTGGGGATGTGGCTCAGTGGTCATGCGCCCTTAGATTAAATCCCCAGCACTTCCCCCAACACACATACAAGTACAATTCAGGAGTGACAGGAGGGTGCTGTTGTGGTAAGAACTAGTCACAGATGCAATGAAATCTCATTTTTTCCAAGCTTTTAGAGCAGGGTTTTTGAATGGCAGCACCATTGATACTTGATGTACTTCATTGCAGGGGCTTCCTGGGATTGTAGGATATTAGCAGCATGCGGGGCCCCTTCCCACTAGATTCCAGTAACAAGTCGCTCTCCCTTCCCTTCTTCCTTTTGTTATAACCAAAAATGTCTCCAGACCTTGGCAAATGTCTTCTGGAGAACAAAATTATCCCCACTTGAGAACTGCAGAATTAGAAAAGTCTGGCATCAGTTCAGTTTGGTAATTCTTATTAACAATTGGAAAGCATGTGCACATCCAGCTATTGAAGTTCATTCATAAAAGTTCATCTACATAAGTCACTCCAACCATGGTTTCCATAAAGCACCTGGAAACTCACCAGTTGCTTTCAGGAGAAGATCACCAATCTTCACCCTGCCTCCCTCTGGCTTGGGGTATTCCTATTGGGCATCGCATATAGGGATGTGCTTGGACCCCAGGGGCAGGACAATGTTCGTTTCAGAACTTCCTTTGGTCTTTTGTGTGGCCAATGGGTGAAGGAACATCTCAAACCCCCTTTCTGTGTTCCCATAAAGTTTTGGCCATGCTTTGGAAGTAGAAGGGAAATCAAAACTTAGCCCATTGGTAGGGAGAAAAGTTGCCCAATCTTCATTGCACCTACAGAAACACTTGCTTGTTTATATGAATCTGGACTTTGCTGTCTCTGAAAACCGCCATTTGTCATTGAATGATGTGTGCTGGGAAGAAGAGATTGTGTGTGCAAACCCCACTGGCTGGGAGGTCTCAGGAGCCAAGTGCCCAGTGGCAAAGCCTGCCCAGACTCTCCTGCTAAAGAAGGTTCCCAGTCCACCCTGTTCTCTGTGGGGTTTTTTCCAGTTTGAGTAAGCTTGACTTTAACATACAGTGTGACCCTTTATCCCATCCCACACGGTAAGTCCATTTAATGAGCCCAAATCTGCTTCCCCTACACAGCTCTCAAGTAGAGAGCTTGAGAGGGAAGAACTGCTGCTTCCACACTCACCCTTGGTCTTAGCCCAAGGTTGTTGCGCGAACCCCAAGCTCCAGGAGGCAGAGGGCATCTGAGCCTGTGATTTCTCCTAGAGGGTAGAGATGGTGAGGGAGGTGAAAGGACACTAGGTTCTGAGAAATGAAGCCCAAGAGGGCACCACTGGAACTGAGAGCCAGCCCCTCCCACCGGGGCACAGGAATGGGACCTGGGAGGGTAAGTAGAGGGCAGGCACGTGAATTAAGTTTCAATAATGTTTCATTGAGCTAGAGTCTGGAGAAAAATGAAATTGGGAGATCAGCAAAAATTTTAAATTGACATAAATGAGTCCTTGCGATTTACCCCAAATGCCAATAAAGCTCAGGAGAAGGATTTACTTCAGCGTTTCTACCTTCTGGCTGGGAAAGTTCATCCTGAATTTTGTTTCTGAAACTGCCGATAGTAGTTTTTTTACAGATTATTATTTTTTTCTATTCCTCTCTAAGGTTTGGATCTAGAATTTGAGGAGTGTATAGGTTACACGACTTACCTACATTTTTCTTAAAACTTGACTAGGTGAACAAATTTACCTTGCAAATATTTTGCTTTAAGATATGTCAAAGAAACAGAAATATTCACTTCTGATTTTTTACTTTCTTTTTATCCACGTGGATATTGTTACTGTTTGGTCACTCCCTGCTGGCCCTTATTTTCAGCTAGAAGTTTCCCATCCCCCCAGCAAAGCAGGACACAGCCAACTTCCTTCTCAGCAATATCATAGTGGGTGCCAAGAGGCAAACACAGACTTCAAGGTGGCAAAACTGTACTTCTAACATTTTCCTCTGTTCACCTTCCCATCATGATTACAGCCTTGCGTCTATTTTATTTGTCTGCTGAGGCTAATTAGGGCCCAGGCATATGAGCTCACTCTCCAGGGAGAGGTCCCAGCACCTCCCTGGGGAACTCCTGCGAGGATGTGGGATTTCCTCCAGAAGAGGTGCGTGTGCAGGTTATTTGCTAACCAGAAGCTGCTGCTGTTCTGTGAGCAGCCCAACCTCTCATGGCACATCCACTGACCACAGTGCCCCTGTGACCTGGATGGCAGTAGGGGGTGTGCCTTGCTCCAGTGTGCCTGTCATCAGCTACCATGATGGGAAGGGAGCCGCTAAAGAGTAGGGTGGATTCATGGCACAATGGAAAGGTGGCAGGTGGCAGAAAGACACTGGAGTTGACACTACTTAGCAGTGTGGCCTTGGGTAAGTTACCTAACCCCTGGGAACACAATTCCTCAGCTATAAAAATGGATATATTTCCATGACCCTGTTATAAGGATTTGAGAAAATAAATATGTGAATGTGGGTGTGTATGTTTGCGTGCAACAGGAGAAAGATACAAAGAATCCAAAAGACATTTTAAAAATATAAACTTGCCTATATACCTAAGGTTTTTATAGCTGTGGCTGTTGTATATAATATGTATAGAGCACAAATTAATTAGAGATTTTGTTAAATCAAGTATGCCTGCTAAAATTGTATGGTATTCATTCATTTAATAATAAAGATTTATCTAATAGTAAACATCTTGACTAAAATGATTGAACAAGGTAGACATTTTTGTTTCACATTAATAGAATCTAGAGGTGGGCAGTTTAGGACATATTTGGCCATTCCTGAATCAGTGGATGAGCGCCTCTTCTTTCTGCTCTGTTGTCCTTAGCATCTATCTTCTATCCTCAGAGTTGTCCTCATGGTCCACAATGGTTCTGGAGTTCCAGCCATCACAGCCACATTCCAAGCTGGATAAAGGAGGGAAGGACAAAGGATCATAGGCCATCTGTTATTATTCTTTTAGTGAGTCTTTCCAGAAGTCTTAGCCAACAACTTCTCCTTACATATTAGTATTTCTCTTCTACCTACTTCAGAAATGCAGGGGGTTTTTGTTTGTTTGTTTGTTTGTTTGGCAAGGCATATTTCTCAGCATTTTACTGTTAAAGAGACATGGAGAATGACTATTGCAGGGTATCTAGTAGTTTCTGCCACAAGGCTAACCACCAAACTTTAGAATCTTTCAATTGGAATATTAGAATGAAACCCAATCCCCAAAAAACAAATGCCGAATGTTTTCTCTGATATAAGGAGACTGACTCATAGTGGGGTAGGGAGGGGGAGCATGAGAGAATAGATGAATTCTAGATAGGGAAGAGGGGTGGGAGGGAAAGGGAAGAGCAGGGGATTAGCAAGGATGGTGGAATGTGATGGACATCATTATCCAAAGTACACGTATGAAGACTCGAATTGGGTGTCAACCTACTTTATATACAAACAGAGATATGAAAAATCGTGGTATATATGTGCAGTAATAATTGTAATGCAAGAAAACAAAAACAAAGTATTTGTATAAAGACATGCATTGGTGTGAACATACTTTATACACAAAGATATGAAAAATTGTGCTCTATATGTATAATAAGAATTGTAATGCATTCCACTGTTATGTATTAAAAAAATAAAATCAATTAAATAAAAAAGAATGAAAAATATTCCAAACAAGTAGAAAGGAAAATGGGGAATAAAGAAAACTCCATTGATCCAATAAACAGTAAGAAAAGAATAAGAAATTTTGACATCAAGAAAAATCATTATGAAGAAAATGCACAAAATGAGATGGAATAAATAATTGCAATTAAGTGTAATTATAATCAGTGCAAGTACGGGAACCAACGTGAGAGACTTAACTAGAGATGGAAACAGATTGTCAGATACGATAAATCACATAAAACTCATCTCTATACCATTTACAAGAGACACATTTAAATTGTAACGGAAGAGTCAGAAACTAATGGGCCAATTCCAATTTCCTTTTCCAGAAAGGCATTATCAGGACACTTACACAAATACAAAATGAAACATTAGAAATTTTATCTAACTCTTTATTCAGTGAGAGAACCTGTAAGATGCTATAAAGGAGAATTTGAAGTACTGTACTTTTGTAGTTGAACCAGGAATGTTGAGATGGATGCATAAATAGGTGCAAAGATGGTCAATATCCAAAGGACAATAATGAATTGCATTTCATTGGACGAGTTTTTCATTAGTTTTCAATAAAACATTTCAAAGACAACAAAAGGCACAAGCTCTAGAATCACAGCATTCAGAAGGATGAGTTATAAAAAGATGCAGAGTGTCTCACGGAAAACACCAAGTCATCTTTTGGTCTATTTCAAAGTTTTTGGTGATTTTTCTCTAGCATTTCCTCTCCTTTTGTGATCAACCTTAAAGAAAGATTGTTCTTAACTTGGACTTACAAACACCGAGACCATAAAGAACCGACCAATTACAAAATCAACTTCTCTGTCTAGTTTTTTTAAGAAATCCCAGGATGACTTTTAAAAATACTTGTTATCCTGTGGCTAGGCAACTCTTACTACCGAAATTCTCCTGCAGCATCTCTAAATTTGGATGAATTTCTTTTTAAATTCTCCAAAATTTCCTGTGTTTCCTGGCCTGAGAGGAATAGCATTCCCAAAGTGACACTCCAGCTAAGGCCCTGATTTTACAGTTCATGGGGTACAATGTCATTCTAGTAAGAAGAAAAATGGATTCTTTTTTAAAAAATATTTTTCTAGTTGTAGATGGACAGCATGCCTTTATTTTATTTGTTTATTTTTTATGCAGTGCTAAGGATGGAACCCAATGCCTCACATTTGCTAGGCAAGCACTCTGCCACTGAGCTACAGCCCCAGCCCAAAAAAACAGATTCTTATGTAAGGGTCCGGCGAATGTCAGAGGAAGAGACCACCAAGAGGCGGACTCATGCAACAGCAAAAGGGGGTTTATTGAGGATCCAGCGCGCTGGGGCTCCGTGCTCACTCAAGAAGGGAGAGCAGCCCAGAGCCCCGAGCAGAGGTTAAGCAGTGCTTAAGTACACTTTTTTGGGGAGGGCGGGGGCTTTGCATACATCAGAACAAATCATCATGAGGCGCGGGAAAATTGAACAACAACTCTCAAACTTGATTAGCACATTCATTGGCGGGAACAGGTCGGGCGGGGGTGATAGGTCAGTCCTAAAGTGGGGTATACATTCAAACTGATTGGTTTGGGCCCTGAGATGCCTACGTGCTGAACTGCACTGGGTCCAAGTTGTTAAACAACTAAGTGGTCAGGGGGAATTATCTAATGGGCAGTCGCGGGAATTGTCCTAACAGCTACAGGAATTTCAGGTTTTGAGTGTAGCATAGGAACTTAACAATACCTGGTCCTTTACATTTTAACTCAGGCTTTGCAGCTTAGAGACTTTACCCTTTCACTTATAGAATCTTTGCATGTAACTATAGTACTACAAAAGTAAGGAGGTTAATTAGGAGTTTCTGAATGATGTGGGATCAGTGAAAATCAAATATCATTTTAGATGTTTCATTTCAGTTTACAAAAGCAGAGTCTACTGAATTCTATAGGTTACAGATAGCTTAAGAAGAAACAGGGCCTGGGTGGTAGCTCAGTGGTAGAGCGCTTGCCTAGCAAGTGTGAGATACTGGCATAAAAATAAAGGTATTATGTCCATCTGCAAAATGGTTAATTTGTAATGAATAACCATCAAATTGGAAGGGGGGGCATGCGTAATTATAATGTAATCAAGAAGGAAATCTGATTGCTCATGAGGCGTGCCAAACAAAGATAAAATCATTTCAAAAAAGAGAAAAATAAATGATTATTAAGTATAAGCATAAAGCTTATTTGGCTCATAAAATGTAGGAACATGATTTCTGTAGAGGAAAATAATCATGAGTTATAATGGTCCTGAGAACAAGGATATGAATGAAGAGACCCAGGAGGAGGATTGTGGCATCTTTCTTTTTATAAAGCCCCAGAGGTAAATCTGACATGCATCTCCATTTGCAAAACACTGGTAAGGAGATGCTAAAGTCAAATTTTAAAAATGCTAGAATCAAGGGGGGAGGGGCATGGCAATAGGAAAGACAGTAGAATGAATTGGACATAACTTACCTATGCTCATGTATGAATACAGGACCAGGGAAATGCCACATCATGTTCAACCACAAGAATAGGATCCTAGAGCCTGGCACGGTGGCATACGCTGTAATCTCAGCAGCTCTGAGGAGGCTGAGGCAGGAGGATTGCCAGTTCTAAGCCAGCCTCAACAAAAGCGAGGCCCTCCAAATAAAATACAAAATAGGGCTGGGGATGTGGCTCAGTGGTTGAGAGCCTCTAAGTCAATCCCTGATAATCACCCCCACCCCCATAAAAAGAAAAGAATGGGATCCTAATTAGAATAAGTTATACTCCATGTATGTATACTATGTCAAAATACACTCATGTATATCTAAAAAGATATACATGTATATCTTTTTTACTTCATGTATATCTAAAAAGAACAAATTTTAAAAGTTTTAAAAATACTATATTAAAATGATAAACTATGACCAGGCCAAGGGAGCATTTTAAATAGTTCCTGAAAGTCGGATTAAGAATGTTATCTTCCTGGTATCTAATATCATCAGGCAAAGTGCTGCCAAGACTCTGATAAATACAAGAAAACACCACAACACTACTTCAGCAGAGTTCTGATCAGTATTGTCTACAAGGTAAATGGACAGTCAGGGCATTGACAAATCTCCTGTAAAGCATAGGGTTTCTGAAATACTTATATCAACAGTCTTTTACCTACACAAATCTAGGGAAGATCTGTGGGGAAGGCTGAGCATCTCCTCTGACTTCAAGCCCTTTCACAGGACTCCTGTAACAGCAGAGAAAGCAGCAGCCACAGCCTGCTAGGGCGAAGGAGCTAGACCTGCTGATATTCCAGGAACCCACTGGAAAGTCCCAGAGACAGTTTTGTAAAAAATATCCTGATTTTTTTGTACATTTAAAAATGGTTTTATTTTCCATACATTTTACTGCAATAAAAAGGTTTAATATATATACGATTAAAGGATGCAAAAAATATCCTGATTTTATTTTATTTTATTTTTTCAATTTAAGACCTAATTTGTTTGGAAAATGAAAATAAACAAAAAAATGTCAGAGGGTATTTGGATACTTAAGACAGGATCGGATCCTGGGTGCCTTAGAAACAGTATTGTATTATCTAATCAGAGTCACGATCTAGCATTTGAATATAAACATGGAAGGTAACATGATTTAAATGAACCTTGGCTCCTTCATAAGTAGAAAACTTTCGTATTTTTGTTTCCTTAAATGGAGGTTATAATAAAGTCAATACAAAGAATGGGAAATTATTCTGGAAAGACCCAGAATCTTTGCCATCCAGGTAAATGACACAGCAAGTAATGGATAACTTTTTCACTGTATGTGAAAGCAGTAATCGGTAAACCAAGAAAACAAGCCCACCCAAATTAGGCAAACTTTGCTAAGATTCTAACACATTCCAGAGCTAAATGTTATAAACTAAGGTAAATGAAACTAGCTTTCCAAGTTTTATCCTTGTTTCATATTCCATAACAAACTGAAATTTTTCTTTAGAACTGATGTCAGGGGATTTGCAAGGTCAAAACTAATCCTACAATACTAAGATGTTATGTATGTTAACTAAGATGTTATTTATTGTTAATACATTCATCATTGCTGTCTTCAAATGCATCATTAAACATTAAAAAATTGACTCCTATTTTTTAATATGATAAATATTGACAGTTATAATCTACCAAGCAGAAATGATCTGGGGTCCTTAATAAGCCCTAAGAGAATAAAAGAGATCAGAACCCTAACAAAAAATTCCAAGGCCCAATGCACGCCTGTAATTCCAGCTACTCAGGGA